TTCGTGGGAGAAAGAATAAAATAAGAAGCCAGAAGATAAATTCATTAAAGCAATTACTAGGTGAAGTAAATTAGAGAGCAAAGCAGTGTCTTCAAACAAATTGAGACATCGAGTCCATGCAAATGGAATGGTCACAGAGGTCAGTGGTGACTACTGAAGCTCATTCCGACCCGATTAGAACTTTTTCAAATTTGTCAGTATGGTAGTCTCACAAAAGATAAGATGAAAATGACAACTTTAGCTAAATTTAATAAGAGCATTGACATAAATATATGCAAATATTTGAAATAATAATGTTTCAAGAGGGTCTTAAGATAAAGGATAGCATAAACAAGCCCAGAAATTTAAGATTTTGACATTTGTTTAGGTGTGAATAAATGAGCATCTGTAAAAACAAAAGGGCACACTCATGTAACTTGCATGTTTAATGCAAATGTTGCATTTAATTCACCTAGTTTCCTGATTGCTATCCATTAGAAACTGAGCCATTGCCACAATAATGCGCTCCGCCATATTTGCAGTCCCAGATCCCGAGCTACTTGCTGTAGTTACAGTTGTATTAGTTGCTGCTGCTGCCAATGACATGTTTGCGCAACCACCAGACCCTGTCGGCAGGGCACCCATAGAGGCCCAAGAGGATAAACCCATAACGGAGCCTGAACAGGTGTTTGTAGTCGCATGTCCATAAGCAAAACTAACACCAGAGCCATAACTGTTGGTTGAGGTTGGATTATTGGCATGAAGGAGCCTGGCAGCCCCTAGGCGTTCTGCCGCAGCTGCTACGTGCACTGCGCATTGACGACGGACAGCAACATTTTTATGTCTGTCATTGGATAACAAAATAAAACGAGATAAGGCAAGATAAAAGAAAGATAATCCTGAGAGAATATAAACTTTCATTCATGAATATACTCTTGGATGTACATTAGTCAGCAGAGGCTACACGCGGTTTTTCGAAAAAACGGAAAGATTTGGCGACTCCTTGTCAACACGATAAGGAATATAAATATACCAAATGGGTAGCTCCTGATAAGCAGTCCAATGCATCATAGGTCGTTTAAAAAGATGTTTATAATTATAACTGAATTTTACAAAATATATAAGTTGTTTGACATTTTTTTCGCAACTTTGTAATATTGGTAAGAAAACCTAGATGAACGCACCTAGCCAAGAGTCCATAAAATGTATGATAATTTATACAATCGAACCATAGACATAGTACATTCTCAGACGTGTCGCCGGCATCGTCAGTGGGCCTTGCCATTCTTAGCGCCATAATACAACTCGTGAGAGACAATTGAAGTCGGTACTTTGATAAATTATCTGCTAAAGAATTGTGGTATCTCTCCTTCTGCCAAAAGCTATTCACCAATCCTATTTCCTCGTATCAACCCTTCACTATCACAATTTCTTAATTTTTGTTTAAATTTGGTATCATGTGCCCTTTTGGGCAGATTTTATGAGATCTCACCAAACTCCACGCTTGCTTACTCACCCCCTCACCTCGCAATCCTTTTCCCATATGTCTTATCAATCTCCCCTGTGCCCCATATGATCCGCCTCATACCTTCCTGGCTCAGGTCCAGAAATCCTATCTGTACCACTCGAAGCGTTATTTCCGACACTGTCTTAAGAATTTGATGG